CAATTACACTAACTAGAATGATCGTTGTAAATATAAAAAAAAAAAATTAAAACACATCTGTGGACTTAGAAAATCTAATGGAATGTATTGATCAATTAAAAAAAATAATTTTAAAAGACCAAATGATCCTCTAAATGAATTTTATTTCAAAAGCAGCACAACAAAAAACAAAATGATAACAATTATGAAATTTGGTTTTATTTTTAACAAATAAATAGGAAGAACATTGTGAAAAGTTGGAACAGTTACAAAATAAAATGCTATTTGATTTAATTACAAGCAAAAGTTGGTAAATGCTACAAATAACATGAATTTAACACATAAGAGTTTTGTAAAACAAATGGCCGAAAAGAAGAATAAGATGAAATAGGAAAAGAAATATAAAAAAATGAAAGGAATGAAAAGTAATTAACTTAAGACAATAATAAAAACAGAGAGGAAAAAGATGAAGCATGAATAAGAGGAAATAGCAAACCTATAGACAAATCCCTTTCCCTTATCTCTTATATGGAACTGAAGCAGGAAAAAGATAAATGAAGAATGAAGAATGTTCACGTATATATAAATGATGGGCAAACTTAATCCTTGATATTTTGATATCGGAGATAGAAATGATCGATTGTTTGAATTATTTAAAATCCCTGATTTTTTTGATATTAGAGATAGAAAAGATTGACTTTTTGGAATGTTTAAATAATTTTTTGAAAGAAATCGAATTAAATTATTCCTAAATTAACGGGAATAAACCGGTGAGGGGAAATCAATGACATAATATTAATAACTTTATTCTAAAATTCTGTAGTAATTTTAGTATAGATAAATATGAGTAATTAATAGCATTATATTTTCCTGATCTAAAGGAAATCGTTTAAATGATTCTGTAGGTAAAATGCTAAAAATCAGGAATATTTCAAGGAAATTCATATCACAAATTGCAATGGGCGGGAAACAAAAATGCTAAAAATCAAGAATATTTCAAGGAAATTCATATCACAAATTGCAATGGGCGGGAAACAATGGAATATGTTGCTGGAGAGAATGCCATGTGGCAATAAGCTTGTCTATAAAAAGGACATGTGGCGTTTAGAAGAGATTTTTATTAAGAACGAAGATATATATATATATATATATATATATATATATATATATATATATATATATATATATATATATATATATACTAGGTTTAAACCCGTGGAAATCCACGGGTGATAAATTGAAATATAATTATAGTTTTTAATTTGTAACAAAAAAAAAGATATGAAAGTTTAGAAAAAATGAAGAATAATGATATTAGCATTAATATGAATAAGTCAAATACAATAAAGTTGTAAAAATTAATTAATTAATATGATAGATGAAGTACGATACAAGAAAAGTAAATAAAAGATGGTAGAAAAGTAAATAAAACCATAAATAATTACAATTCGTAATGTTAGATAACGGATTTATAACATTTGTAATGTTAGAAAATGGAGTTCTAACATCTGTAAAGGATTTGGGTTCGCATATGAGGTTGTATGGATTGGGGTTAAAGATGCGAAGGTGATTATGGTTAATATTAATTTCGTATTTGGTGAGACAAACAACTCAAATGCGAATGAACTAAAAAAAAATGACTGAAATATGCGAAGAAAGAGGGTGAATGAAGAATGTGAATTTTACAATAGAATGCGAATTGGGGAAGAAAGCTAAGAATTTCACATTTTTATTATACAAATTGATTGATTGATTGATTTGTCTTAATTGTTAATTGCGATATATGAAATACTTATCAATTTAGGGGCAATATCGTCATTTTGAAGTAAAATAAGCCTTGGTTATTAAATGAATCATACGAAGGATCTGTTATTTGATTTTGGAATTGGGGCGAATAATCGAACCATTTGGAGTTGCAAATTTGATTTTGAAAAGCCAATCAGTTGGGTTCGCATATAAAACAGATAAGTTTTGATTTTGGATTAGCAATTGGGTTAATTGGTTTATTGATTGAGGGACGATTCGTGAAGAAAAATGCGAAGTCAAGAAGGACTGTGAAATGTGATTTGTTCAATATTGGAGTCAAATGCAGTTCACGTGTAAAAGCAAAAATGTTCGCATTTGGTAATACAAATCAAAATTGGGTTTCGCATATGAGGTTGTATGGATTGGGGTTAAAGATACGAAGGTGATTATGGTTAATATTCATTTCGTATTTGGTGAGACAAACAACTCAAATGCGAATGAACTAAAAAAAAAATGACTGGAACATGCGAAGAAAGAGGGTGAATGAAGAATGTGAATTTTACAGTAGAATGCGAATTGGGGAAGAAAGCTAAGAATTTCACATTTTTCTTATACAAATTGATTGATTGATTGATTTGTCTTAATTGTTAATTGCGATATATGAAATACTTATCAAGTTAGGGGCAATATGGTCATTTTGAAGTAAAAGAAGCCTTGGTTATTAAATGAATCATACGAAGGATCTGTTATTTGATTTTGGAATTGGGGCGAATAATCGAACCATTTGGAGTTGCGAATTTGCTTTTGAAAAGCCAATCAGTTGGGTTCGCATATAAAACAGATAAGTTTTGATTTTGGATTAGCAATTGGGTTAATTGGTTGGTTTATTGATTGAGGGACGATTCGTGAAGAAAAATGCGAAGTCAAGAAGGACTGTGAAATGTGATTTGTTCAATATTGTAGTCAAATGCAGTTCATGTGTAAAAGCAAAAATGTTCGCATTTGGTAATACAAATCAAAAATGGGTTTCGCATATGAGGTTGTATGGATTGGGGTTAAAGATACGAAGGTGATTATGGTTAATATTCATTTCGTATTTGGTGAGACAAACAACTCAAATGCGAATGAACTAAAAAAAAAATGACTGGAACATGCGAAGAAAGAGGGTGAATGAAGAATGTGAATTTTACAGTAGAATGCGAATTGGGGAAGAAAGCTAAGAATTTCGCATTTTTCTTATACAAATTGATTGATTGATTGATTTGTCTTAATTGTTAATTGCGATATATGAAATACTTATCAAGTTAGGGGCAATATGGTCATTTTGAAGTAAAAGAAGCCTTGGTTATTAAATGAATCATACGAAAGATCTGTTATTTGATTTTGGAATTGGGGCGAATAATCGAACGATTTGGAGTTGCGAATTTGATTTTGAAAAGCCAATCAGTTGGGTTCGCATATGAAAACAGATAAGTTTTGATTTTCGATTAGCAATTGGGTTAATTGGGTTATTGATTGAGGGACGATTCGTGAAGAAAAATGCGAAGTCAAGAAGGACTGTGAAATGTGATTTGTTCAATATTGTAGTCAAATGCAGTTCACGTGTAAAAGCAAAAATGTTTGCATTTGGTAATACAAATCAAAATTGGGTTTCGCATATGAGGTTGTATGGATTGGGGTTAAAGATACGAAGGTGATTATGGTTAATATTCATTTCGTATTTGGTGAGACAAACAATTCAAATGCGAATGAACTAAAAAAAAATGACTGGAACATGCGAAGAAAGAGGGTGAATGAAGAATGTGAATTTTACAGTAGAATGCGAATTGGGGAAGAAAGCTAAGAATTTCGCATTTTTCTTATACAAATTGATTGATTGATTGATTTGTCTTAATTGTTAATTGCGATATATGAAATACTTATCAAGTTAGGGGCAATATGGTCATTTTGAAGTAAAAGAAGCCTTGGTTATTAAATGAATCATACGAAGGATCTGTTATTTGATTTTGGAATTGGGGCGAATAATCGAACGATTTGGAGTTGCGAATTTGATTTTGAAAAGCCAATCAGTTGGGTTCGCATATGAAAACAGATAAGTTTTGATTTTCGATTAGCAATTGGGTTAATTGGGTTATTGATTGAGGGACGATTCGTGAAGAAAAATGCGAAGTCAAGAAGGACTGTGAAATGTGATTTGTTCAATATTGGAGTCAAATGCAGTTCACGTGTAAAAGCAAAAATGTTCGCATTTGGTAATACAAATCAAAATTGGGTTTCGCATATGAGGTTGTATGGATTGGGGTTAAAGATACGAAGGTGATTATGGTTAATATTCATTTCGTATTTGGTGAGACAAACAACTCAAATGCGAATGAACTAAAAAAAAAATGACTGGAACATGCGAAGAAAGAGGGTGAATGAAGAATGTGAATTTTACAGTAGAATGCGAATTGGGGAAGAAAGCTAAGAATTTCGCATTTTTCTTATACAAATTGATTGATTGATTGATTTGTCTTAATTGTTAATTGCGATATATGAAATACTTATCAAGTTAGGGGCAATATGGTTATTTTGAAGTAAAAGAAGCCTTGGTTATTAAATGAATCATACGAAGGATCTGTTATTTGATTTTGGAATTGGGGCGAATAATCGAACGATTTGGAGTTGCGAATTTGATTTTGAAAAGCCAATCAGTTGGGTTCGCATATGAAAACAAATAAGTTTTGATTTTCGATTAGCAATTGGGTTAATTGGGTTATTGATTGAGGGACGATTCGTGAAGAAAAATGCGAAGTCAAGAAGGACTGTGAAATGTGATTTGTTCAATATTGGAGTCAAATGCAGTTCACGTGTTATTATGTGTTTAAGTTGATTAGGGGTAAATAAGTTAGTTAATTACAGAGATAGTGTAAATACAGAAGTACATTTAGGTAAAATAAAGTGGTATGTCTAATAAATTGATATGTAAAATGAAACATATAAGTAACTGCATAATTACACATATGAATGTAATTCTTCAAGATTTTGTGGGAATAAAGCAATGTAGTTTAAAATAAGTTGTAGGAAAAACAAAATAACATGGCAAACCAAATTATAGGACTACAAAAAAACCCAATGGTCCGAATGTACTTTCAAGAAACAAAAATGACAACCATGAAATCCCAAAAAAAAAACATTCAAAACCAAGAAAGATAAAAACGTAAACGGCTTAGGAGTCTATGATGCGAAATCAAAATTAAACACGAAGTAAGATTGTTTGTCGAAGTAAAATGCATTTACTTTTCTTTCTTGGGTACCAAAAGAGGAGTTGGTTGTTCATCTGGTGGTGACAGTCTAGGATTTTTAGAAGTAGACAAATTCTCCATTTCATCAATATCTATGCATGTAGCAAGGTTTCTTTTCAACTCAATTGGTGTAGAAATGAATTTTATAGGACTTGTTGCAGTTGACTTGTCCCTAGCACATGGAGTTAAATTTTCACCGGTCTGTGAAAAAGAATCCTAAAAAAATATTTAGTTAGTTGTTATAAATTAAAACAAAATATTTGAGAAATATATTTTAAAAACTAAAACCTTGAGAACTTTGGTGTCATGAGAACCAACATCTGAATAACCAATCAAGAATGAATCAGAATTAGCAGGCTGCATCACAAGATGAAAACAAATGATATTGAGTCAGATATTGTTGGGTCAATGTGTTAAAAAACAAAATATAATTGTTGAAAAAAACCTGTGGAGTAAGATTATTTTTTTCCAATTCATCAATTATGTCTGCATTCTCGGTTAATCTTGATATCCCATAAAGATTACTTTTATTATCGACATTGTAACGTGTGATATCAATCTTAATTGCCAACTTTCTGTCCAACACAACTTTCAACTCCATTGGATACAATTCCAAATTGTTGCCAAGCTAAAATGTAAATAAATATCATTAGAAAATTTGTATGTAAAATATATAATACCAAGTTTTAGGCCAACACAATTGTAAACACCTTTTGCTGACCTGATGATGAATATGTCACCTCTGAAATGTAACCTAACGATGAATATGTGATCTCTGAAATCGTATTGAATAAATCACGTTAACAGGAATCGTATTGACTTCTCAAGTTGTATTGAAATATATCATCTATGCGTAAACTGATTGCCTGATTTTTAGGGATTGACACTATATGGAATTTAAATTGATTAGCTGATAATGAAATTTAAATTGATTAGCTGATTTTTTGGGATGGATATTGCATATTCGACAGAAATCAATTTTAAATTTCCTGATTTACTTCCTGATTTACATATTTACTTATTTACTTATTATTTACTTATTCATAATTCATGTTTGCTGATGTAGAAAATGTTTTCGAACAGAAGGGCAAAGTGGGAACTTCACTTATAATATATGAGCGGGAAAACGTAAGGTGGAGAGGCTAAGGGACTGCCAAGTGGCGTTTTCAGTACTGTTTTATTAGTAGAGAAGATATATATATATATATATATATATATATATATATATATATATATATATATATATATATTGTCTATAAAAGGACATGTGGCGTTTAGTAGAGGTTTTTATTAAGAATGAAGATATATATATATATATATATATATATATATATATATATATATATATATATATATATATATATATATATATATATATATATAAAGAATGATGTATTGGTTGATCAGATTATGTTGTATAATCTCATGGATATTGTAGTCATGGAATTTGATGGATTTTTAGAAGTTCACAAAACTTATGTTTGGTTGTTGTAGGTGGTACAACTTTGCAAGGGGTAGTGGTGAAGTCATATGAATTATTTATGTAATTTTGTGAAACACATAGACCAATTTGTGAAATATATGATATTTTTATAATTTTGGTGAAAGATGATGACCATTTTGTAAAATAGCACGTTAAATGTATCAAAGAATCTTATTTTTATATATAAAAATAAGATTTTATAAAAGAAAGTATTTTGCTGTACCTTTTATAATACTTATATTATTACATTTGAAAACAATTTTACATCACATTAATTTATTATTTATATATTGATATACTTACTTTATGATTAATGTAAAATATAACCATGGTTACAATCATTAGTATTTATGCTAACAAATTAATTTTTTAAATAAAACTTTATTAATAGTTATTTATTATATGAGTATGTATTAATGATTATTAAATAGTTAAATCATCAATTACTATATTAGTGTAAATATTTTATTAAAAATATATTAATTACAAATAATCAATATATGTTAAAATTATAAAATAGTTGTTGATACGTAAGTTGCCACCAATATGTTAGCATTGATACAGAAAAACAAAAATGGTTATTTTTTCTTAAGACAACATATAAATAACATCCCTATAGTTGTCGTACAAATCCGTGAAATATATAAATCAAATTCATGAGTCGAGGAATCACCTCCCATTTTAGGAGTGAAAATACACTAATTACTAATGTAGAGGTAATTAGAAAAGCTTAACACAACTAAAAGACTTTTTTTTTTTTTGGAATAGGATTTGTTAAGGTAATTAACTTTTTGAGTTTTTCACATATAGGTAACTATCTTTTTTTGTACACATCTAGGTAACAAACTTTTTGAAACTGTTCACATATAACCATTATAACCTGCTGTAGCAGGTTACATCCAGCTACAGCAGGTCATAATGGTTATATGTGAACATTTTTATCAAGTTCGTTACCTAGATTTGTACAAAAAAAATAGTTACCTAAATATGAACAAAACTAAAAGTAAGAGTAAATTACATGAATGGTCCCTATGGTATAGGAGAATTTGTGCATTTGGTCCCTAACTTATTCTTTTTAATTCGGATGGTCTCTACTGTTTATTTTTGTTGCACGCTTAGTCCCTATCTTACCTAAAAAGACTATTATGCCCTTATTAATTTATTTTTTTAATTAATTTTCTTATTTATGTTATTTATATGTTTAAAAAAATTAATAGACCCCACATATCTGTATCTCCTCATCGTAAATCTGAAACCACATTTGAGAAATTTAATTTGGGTCCCACCGGTCACCATCCAATCTCACATCCTCTTCAACCTCTATTTTCTTTCAATCTTTAATGACATGGAAGTCTTCACCATCCTTTTTTTGGTCATTCAACTCTGGCGAACAAACACCATAACTCACGTTCTCTTCACTTTATTGGGTTGTGGTGTTGGTTCGCTGAAGTTGAAGGACCGAAAAAGAATAGATGGTGAAAACTTCGTTGTCATTAAATATGGAAAAGAAATAAAAGTTTAGGATGATGAAAGATAGGATGGTGAGGAGATACAAATATGTGAGGTCTATTAGTTTTTTTAAACATATAAAAAAATACATAAATAAGAAAATTAATTTAAAAAAATTAAATTAATAAGGACACACTAGTCTTTTTAGTTAAGACATAGACCAAACGCAACAAAACAAAACAGTAGGGACCATCCGAATTAAAAAAATAAATTAGGTACCAAACACATAAATTCCCCCAAACCACACGGACCATTCGTGTAATTTACTCTTACTTTTGGTTTTGTTCATATTTGGGTAACTATTTTTCTTTTGTACACATCTAGGTAACGAACTTGTTGAAAGTGTTCACATGTAACCATTATAACCTACTGTAGCCGGAAGTAACCTGCTACAACAGGTCATAATGGTCATATGTGAACAATTTCAAAAAGTATGTTACCTAGATGTGTACAAAAAAAAGATAGTTACCTACATGTGAACAAACCAAAAAGTTAATTACCTTAATTAGTCTTATTCCATTTTTTTTTAAAGAGACAACTAAAAGACTAGTTAAATACTGTATTGATTTAAATGGTTTTATACAAATGCTCTTATCGTATAATAACATTAGGGATATAATAGGTTTCAAAACCGGACCCAACCCACCAAAACCCGGAAAAATAAAACCAAAACCACAATATATATATATATATATATATATATATATATATATATATATATATATATATATATATATGTTAAATTCATTTGTATTGAGATGAAATTGGTTCCAAAACCGAAAAATGAAAATTCAAGGAACTCAGAACCGAAATCGAATACCCCTATGCAGTTCCAGTTCGGTTCTTCATTTAATTCACACATCCCTAAATCACATTCTTCAAAAAAAATAAGATAAGGGCCTTGTAGAACTTACTAGAGTTATCTCACAGGCTCGCATGTTTAATTGAGTGGTGCAACAAGAAAAACCCTATCTGTTCTAATGCTTTTGATTTATTTTTCAGTAGTTTAGTACTATTTCTATTTTTTATATTTTACAACAGTTGATGCAGTTTGACACATGAAAAAGGTTACCTGAGAAGCAACACATATGAACAGACATCTGTATTCCTTGGCTGAATTATGATCTCAACAGGAAAGAGGAAGATGATATTTCGAAAGGGTAATAGTCATAAAGACAGATTAAAAATTGAAGCAACAAAATTCAGAGTTGTGCAACAAATAAATATCTAACATAGACACCATATTTGATATTTCTAACCACCACGAGCTTCTCTTCTAGTGGCATCATGGAGCAGCTCGATGTCAACTCCCTCTGGTGGTAACTGCACATATCTCACCACTGATCCTCGAATGAAACAGTTCCTCACTGAAAGCTGCAATATCATCAAACTTTAGCAAACTGATATTATCCCTTCAAAGAGTTTATTAGATACCATACTCATCAAAAGTTCTAAAATACATCTCAATTTTGTATAAATAGTTCAAAGATTTTCCACGAAACAAAGACGATCACGATCAAATTTCTCATAATCTAATTATCTATGAATCTCTGACTACTGAGATTAACATCAATTTCACATAACCTAAATCTCAAAATAAGGTGTTGTCATCGATCGACACAGCACATACCGAATATACAATTAGCTCAAAGATTTTACACTAAAAGAAACGATAATAATCCAATTCTGCATAGCCTACTGAGATCAATGTCAATCTTGACCAAAAACGCTAAAAAAACACAAAGAAACCAAAATTAAGAATCGTACCATGTGAGGGAACTTTTCTTGATCAACGACCCTGGTGTTCTCAAGCTTGATGTTGAGATACTGATCGACCGAATGAAGGGTTCCTCTTATCGCCAAATCATTCTTCAGTTCCACAGTCACTTCTTTTCCCACCAAATCCTTGAAGTACGAGAAGAACAACTGCAACGATATCAAGAAATTTATGTAAAGATTTGCAAATCAAAGAGTTGAGTGTATAGAAAGGAGTGATTTACCATTTTTTAGGGTTCTCTTTCGCTGTAATTTGAGCAAGTGATGAAAAGCCCTTTGCCAAACTGAACCCTAAGGACGGTTGACTCGAACATCACGGTCGTAATATAGCAGGTTGACCCAAAATTATTACGTAAATTTAAAAGAAAAGCTTTTACTTTGGATAACATACGAAATAAAAGTGAAACCTTGCAATATCTATTTAAAGATATTTACAAATGTAACTTCTTTAATATAGAAAATCAGAGTAAATTTAAAATTTTCAAAAACATCTCAATAACCATAATTGTTTATAAAATCATTATTTCAAAAGTTTTAATTAATAATTAGAGTATTCCAAAATTTAAATAACACAATCTGAAAGATGTGCATGATCACGCATTCGCATTGTCACGGTCATCTGAAGTACATTAAACGATAAACCGAAACTTTAAGTCAAAGCTTAGTAAGTTTCCCCAAAATACAATCACACAAACATATAATCAAACGGATATCGGGTCCACAACCTTTCGGTTGGATTACCCCGACCCACAACCTTTCGGTTGGAATGCCCCAGCCCACAACCTTTCGGTTGGATTGCCAATACATATTGGGTCCATAACCTCCTAGTTGGATTACCCTCGGCCCACAACCTTTCGATGGAATGCCTTGACCCAAATCTTTCGGTTGGATTGCCCCAGTCTGTTGACTGACAGCATAAAACAATATAGTCTCAACCCCACCATATCGTGTCGACATATACATAACATATATTTAGTAACAGATAATCATATAACAAGTCAACAGACAAACATGCAGATTTTCAGATCACTACCACATAACAACATCCTATATACCAAGATACATATCTAACAAATCAATACAACATATCGACATCCTATATACCATGATACACAATCTAATGGGTCGAAATTAGTACCTTCGACCTATGAGTATAGCGAGTAAAACCCACCTCTCGGTCTGAAAAGATCACCAAACAGATCACAGCTCCGAATATCATACTTAGCTGTTACATATTCATCAAATAGTGACTAATCTCAAATACAACAAAAAATACCCAAATTACCCTTATGTCAAACTTGGTCAAAGTAAAAAAAATCAAAAAGTCAAGCATGGTCAACACAACTGAGTACACCCAACGTACTCAGCTTGTACGCTTAGTGTACTTGAACTTGACCAAAAACGTGTTGGCTGACCTTGTACGCACGACGTACATGGATTACACTCAGTGTACGCGATGGATTCCTTTCCAGCTTAATCCTTGAGCTCTTTTGTCAAAATTCCAGATCTAGCCCTCAAATAATATCTTTAACCATAAAATTTCCAACTTTATGGCCTTTCATGACTATTAAGTGCCCAATAACAAAACCTTAACTTCCTAACTCATTAAGATATTATAACTCATACATGGAAGGAAACTAACAATCAAGATTGCATTTTTCCCCTTAATACTTCCATTTAAATTATATACAGAAAAAACATATTTGAAGGAAAAAAATAAATTTTCCCTTATATTTCCATATAGATTATATGCATATAAAACATTTTTCAAGAATTTTATATGTGCGTTGTACGTAATTTTTTTTTTTTATTAATTTACATAAAATAATACCTCATAAAAATATTATTGCAAAAAGTTAAAAAGAAAACTAAAAAAAAGTACATTAGAAAAATGGTCAAAAATAATTAAACAGTAAAAAAGTTGGAAAAATATCATATTTTAAAATTATACATACTAGGTGTGAAACTCGTGTATTATACGGGTTAATTTTAAAAGAAGATTAAACATTAAAGTGTAAACATAAAATATTTTTTAATGTATAACTTTATAATAAAGAAGATATATATTTATTGCAATTTAATATCATGTATATCATATTTAATACTTTACATATATAAGTATATGATTTTAATTTTAAAATTTGAAATAAACCAAAAATTAAAAAGTGAATAATATTTATTTCAAAAATACCACAAAATAACAAGTATCAAAATTAATGAGAGTTATTAAGGAGGATTTAGTAAATATTTTTATAACTACATACATTTTTGTCAAAAACTCGTTTCTATCGATAACTCTAGACATATACTGAGGACTAAATCTACAAATTGACACATAGTCGGAGGAAAAAATATGTAACTTACCCATGAAAAATACCGACTACCCATTTATAGTCGACAAACATCAACTTGCACTATTTCTGTCTTGATTCGGATTCACGGTTGGATCCTCCAAAGGTCACAAGAATTAAATTAAACAAATCTCCTCATTTAAATCTAAAATCAATTGGATCACAAAAACCACAATTTTATTTTTTTATCTTTTTTTCCCTGCCAATCAAAACCCATGATCCTTAGAGAAAATCATCGAACGTCAGTGTTAGCAGTATAGTACAAAAATGTAGGGATTTCTGACCCTCACACACGAGAAACAGGATTTGGGTTAAATTCCATAACTGATAACTTTTCTTGTGCTGATGTTTAAGCTGTATCTAATGGCCTCTAATGGGTATCTTCCTACCCTCGTGTTTCGTCCAGAACAAGGATTGAATAGAGTACCCAAGGTGATTCTCGTACTTTTTCGGTTTATTGATTTTGTTGGTTTTTAGGAATTTCAACTGGATTATTCGGTCAACGTTTGATTATGTGTACTGGTTTGATTTGATTAATCTAGAACTGTGTGTGCGATTTTTTTTAGCTGTTTGTAGTTATCGATGTTTATGTGTAATTATGTATTCTGTGAAATTGTTGTGGGTTTGATGGATTAGGGTTGGATTGTTTTGGGGTTTATTGGAATAGAGTTTTCGAATAGTTCTTGTGGGGTTTGTAATTATGTGCTAGTGTGCGTGTGTGTGTGCATATTCATTAAGGTTGGAGAAAATATCTATTAGATACATAGGGGCATAGGGCAAACAAAGCTCAATAAAGCTTTAAGTGTGTTCTTATAAACTTTGAACTCGATTCCTTACACGTTTTGAGTTTATATTAGTACTAACTATTCTATAAAGGCCCCGTGCTCTAGGGCTATTGTCGTTGCATATATGCCTAAGATGCTATTTTAAATTAATGGACTTAACTGGGACGAGACTTAATCCGATAAGCTATATATGGTTGTTTCTTTGTGACTTAATGCAGAAAGAACGACTTAATCCAAAAAGTCAAGGAAATAAAACTTTCCCATAAAAAATTTCCCTATTTTCTGAAGTATGCCATGATTTTCTCAAATATCTTTTGAACATCATTTAATCACTTGTTCTCTCCGTATGTTTGCTTCATGTTATACACATATTTATTACCTGAACCAACTTAACATATTATCGACATGTTTGTACTGCTATGGTTATCATTCATTACCAAATTTTTTAGCTTTTCAGATTATTTTTATGCTGTGAAAATTGCATTATGTCCGTTTCCTGAGCAATTTAACTTTTTGAATCATCATATTCGTTGAAACAAAACTCCGTTCTTATAACAAGACAAAAGAAACACACACATCTTACAACAAATGGTTTTGGTAAAGATCTACAAATGTAAATACAAAAAGATCATCGTTTCAAATTTGAAATCCCCATTTTGACCTTGTAAGTTTCATGTCTCTATTGCAGGACTCTCAGCGTCTGTTGCCTAATTATGAACTACGGGAAGACTTGATACGTTCAAGTCCCCTGAATATGGGTTCAAAACAAATTGGGGATCCATGGAAATCAACATACGGGCTATTCAACAACAACAACAACAACAACAACAACCAGTTTGTCACAATTGACCCCACTTTTACAAAACCTGTACTCATCGACATGCAAGGTTCACCCCTCAATTCTCTTTGTATTTTGAAAACTCACATTCGAAGTCAAAGAATTGAAGTGATAATCTTAATATCTTATAATTTCATGGATGATGTTTTTTACAGATTGTTGCCCAAACTCGGAGCTTTTCAGCTTTAAGTTTGTGATGCCTGGATTACTTGAAGTAGAAAAAGATGGACATGGAGTAGATCTGTCATTGCTTTCCAACCTAACCGGGCTTCAAACTGATTACAAACCATATGTTCCCGATTTGGGTTATACGGATTCACGGCTTATATATCCAAATCCAGAATTTGATTCCCAGAAGCCATTGATGGACTTATTTGGTGATCTTGTTCGACATTCTGAAATAACAATCCATGAAGATGGACTCGTGTCATTGACTGGGACTAAGAAAGAGATGAAGGACATACTTTCGATTCTTTCTGAGTTTTACTTGTCAAAGAACTCGAATAACTGGAGAAGACACTCAACTTTGGTACCACAGTTTGATAGGTACGTGTAGATGTGTATATAGAAACAATAGGCAAAAACGTGTATAAATACTCTTTTGTTGTGTTCATGTTTTATAAAGATTGAAAATTTTGTGTTATAAACAGGCTGTGGTTTGATGAAACAAGCTATTATGGTTCTGCTTTGGAGATTGAAAACGTGATCATTTCTCCACAAAAGAGGTATGTCTATTTATTTTTGTTTTGATCTCTAATTGTTCATGGAATGGAATCATATATGATATATGATAATTATTAATTACGTGTATTTATATAATCTTCAATAACAATAATATTATTATAATATTCCAAAATTTCAGTTAACTTTTTTTTTTCAAAAGTAACAAAATATTTTTTTGATTATAACAATTCTAGTTTAAGATTATATTTTATTTGATTTAATATTTTTGTAAACAATTTTTCTAAAATGATAAATAAATCTTCTTTTTGATATTGATATACATATTGTGTATATTTCATACAACTTGAAATATGTTTATGTGTAATTTATTAAGCGATATATCTCATCTCGTTAATTTTTTTTTTTCTTATTTATCAGTTTAGTTTTATTTAGTTTTTCAACTATGCATAAAAGACCATATTCGGATCACTCCTTTTTTGTCCGTTCCATTCCTTTGTGATTCCACTCCATCATACCAAACAGTCCCTTAATCCTCCAAGCTATATATGGGCGTTCCTTTTGACTTAATGCAGAAAGAACGAGTTAATAATAATAATAATAATAAGTCAGGGAAAGAAGTTTTTTTCTACAAATTTGTACTCAGTTTAATCTCTATATAACGTGACACAGCCCAGAGAAGAGCAAACAGAAGGCATCACAGAAAAAGAAAAGCAACCGTAACAAGACAACAATCAGACAAAACACAAGCAACTACAGTGAAGCTTGTGAAAGCCTTTTATCAATCATTTTTGACAAAAACCGCAACAGCAGTAAAGCTGCAATTCCCATGTTAAAAAAATCGGGTCCCGACCTACCAAACCTTCTAACCCAATTCTCAGCCAGCATTGCGGGAACCGGAATCGCGGTTCTTTTTTCGGTCATCTGTAAAGTAGCGAGCGGGCGGGTCCCGTTTTGTTCATCAAAACTGCTGAATACGGGCCTTGGGCTTGGGCTTGTGTGGCTCTCGTGGGCTGTGAACAGACTTAGGGATACGATTGTCATGATTAATAAGAATTCGAGTAAGAAAAAGGGGTTAAAAGATGAGGACATGATGAAGAAGTTGGATACAAGTGTGAAGGAAATTTACTTCAGAGCAGGAGCTTTGATGATGGTGATGGTGCTGAGGCTTGCTTGAATTGGAGGTATGGAAAATAGACAGTTTATGTGAAAATGTGTGTATTATGGTGTAAATGATGTGTGTGAAAATAGGAGTCGATATCAAGTTTTGCCTGAAACAACTACTCGTAATCTGGATACATTCTTGAAGGATCATGAAAATTGAAACAATAATTTTGTTTTTTATTTTTACATTCTTATCACATAATTTGATAATCTAAACCTTGATTTTGAATAGGCAAACTTGAAATAGTTATAGCAAATTAACGAATGAAGTTGGGGTAGAGCCAGAGGTATTGTATATTTGTATTCTCATGGCCACATTTGAAAGTGTTTAGCTATCTACTTGTTAAACTTTATTAACAGGTGCTGACAGGATAAAAAGGCAAGTATATTGATAAGTGCCAATTTGAGATGGCAAGTCTCCCAAGAAGTCAGATGAGTTTGGAGCAATTTTCTGTTTTTAATTCATATGCAAAAGAAGGAAAATTACATTCTATCTAGAAACTAGGAATGGGAAATGGTCAAAAGACCTTATGCATGCATCTAAACGTGGCCTAATATCTTGCCACTACATATGAAACTAAGGAAAGACTCAATCAACTAAGACTTCTTCTTATGCACTACTTTAGTCCATTAATCTAGCAGGTTTACGCAGGCTTTCACAAAAAAAACCGGTTTACGATCCGAACCGGTGACCGAACCGAAAACCGGTTCACCCTTGAACCGGTCCATTGTTGAACCGATCCGATGTCTAACCGAACCGTCAGTTTGTAGTAATTAGGACTTCTAGCCATTCGAACCGGTTTTGAACCGGTCTAGAAAACCGGCTTTGAACTGATTTTGAACCGGTCTTACAAATTAATCATGCATATATTAGCCATGATATCCTAAGAAACAAAACAAACCAAAAAAAAAAAAAAAGCAATTCCGTCCGATTTTTTTTGAAATGGTTCACCGAACCGGTTTATGGTGAACCGATTTGTATAGGTTCAAATTATTTTGGTGGTGAACCGGTTTGAAACCGAACCGGTTTAGGGGTGAACCGGTTTGTGCATCCCTAGGTTACGGATGGTTCTCTTGGGCCTATGTTGGACTCCTGTGGGTTGCTGTTGCTTGGGCTTGCATCATATATACAAATTTATTCATGATAAGTAGTAAGTAATAATAGAAATGTATATTTTGTTAAAGATAATATACGATAAAACACTGTAATTTCATCAATCCATCGATTAAACTGTTCAAGTTTTTTTATTTTCTTTTTGTCATTGAACCTTAACATTCTTTTATTTTATTAAAAATACAAAATTCACCGTACAACTTCTTTGCGTAACTTGGGCATACTTCCTATAGGCTATGGCACAACAAATAGATAGGGTACATCGAAAAAAAGCAAAAAGTTGGTTACCTTAATAGTAAAACAAGAAAACTAGGTTAAAACCAAAACTATATGTTTAGCTACCACAGCCTAAAGCTCTACACTCAAGTTTTTTGTTGAAGGGGAAAGGAAGGAAATAAAGGAATTACAAAGAAAAAACTTTTTAATTTTTAATTTTTAATTTTTTTTTTCCGGAGGAGGGGGGGAAGGAAATATGCGTATATATCTGCTCATATTTGGGTGGATTGGGAAGGAAACCGACACTTCTTACCCTCTGTTACACCTTGAAGCTGATGAACCCCAACCAAGGGTAAAAGTGTCATTTGACAGTAAGACTCCTTCCTTTCCCTTGCAACTTGAGAACACAAGTGATAAATTTTGTTCCCTTTCTTCCCCTCCCCTCCTTTAAATTTTACACTCAAGAACAAGGTGTTATTCCATTAGTACGTAAGCTCTAGTTGCAGTGCTTCTCTTCATATAACACCAATCATACAGAATCTTTGAGCTCTTTAAAGCATATGCACATGATAAATATTTATAAATATATATATTTAGCAAATTAACATACATAAATTGATAATACATGAGATTTAAACAATAACAAATACCGTTTTAGTTTCAAACCAGCACCCACCATATATATATATATATATATATATATATATATATATATATATATATATATATATATATTAAAATGTCACTTAAAGGACACATTCTTTCCATTAGCACCCATACTGGATGTGGCCCGCAACTTCAGCCTTGCACGGCCAATGAAAGTTGACACCTTGTCATTAAAACTATCGTTCCCATCCACTGTTTTGGAATCTCCAATATCAGAAGGAGCACTCATTTTCATCTTCATACGACCAATAAAACTATCAAACTTTGCCTCACCAAACGTCTTCTGATGATCACCCAACTCTTTACCATCATTAACATTACCATGTTTCTCCACATTCTTACCAGAAAAATGAACATTCTTAACAGATTTTACCTCTGGGGGAGGAACAAACTCGATCGGAATCTCTTTTCCTGAAAAGGGTTGTTGAAGAGCCATCGGTTGAGTGAAAGAAACACGAGGTTTTGATGAGAATGAAGGACGAAAGCGACCAAATGTAGCTTTACGAATCCTATCACATGAACCCCTAGATGGAGTTTGGCTTGATTGGTTTCTTGCCATGCATGTGTTGCGAATGAAGGTGAGGTGTATATGACCATTTAATAGAAGTATGGCACGCGTTAAAGTGTAGAAACAGCAACCGAGTTCATCATTGTTTACAAGCTAAAAGTGATTAAAAATGTCAAAAAAGGTTTGGGAAATGATTCTGATCACACTTCTAACATGTTGTATTAAGTTTTCTCGTGTTAAAATGGAAAAAAGATGGCGAAAACAACTATTTCTTTCTCAAATTGCAGGTAGAATCAGATTCTTGATCACCCAATAGGTTAACGGGGCCTTAAAAACTAATAATTGTTTGGAAACATCCAAAAACAAGAATCAGATTCTGGGATTGGCTTCAAAAGTCTAAATATGCAACAAAAGTTCTAAGATCTTATGTAAAATACCAAAATATGCTCTTGTCACAGTTAAAACCTCGTAACAATTATCTTAACAATTATCTTACTGGTGACTAGTGAGTCTTTTTTTATCTACAAGATTTATGCAACAGGAGGCTTAACTTTGGGAAGTATCCTTTTAAAAACTGAATTTGTTTTTTGTTTTTTAGTTAAAACATCAGATAGATACCCAATAGTTTGGAGATTTTGTAACAATCATTTACGTGAAATTAATCATACAAAAAGAATATGAAAACTAACAAAAAGTAATTGGTTTTAAGATCCGCTATATTCAATGTCTTCTTTTTTGTTTGCCTTCAGTCATTACATCTTCGAACGGGCAAACAAGGGCATCATAGTTTATGGATATGTTTTTTTTTTCCCTTAACATGGATGCTGGTAAAATTGAAGGAAATTGAGCTACATGATCAATCAGTTTAATAATTTATAGTAAATTACACAATTGGTCCCTTTGGTTTTGGATAATTTACATGTTTGATCGCTAATTTTTGTAACCATTCTAGAATTTTGTATTGTTTTGATTTTGGTCCTGATCAACATGCATCATTCACTTTCTATTTCTTGCTCCATACCAACAGAAGAAAAGAAAAACTTGTATCTTTCTAGTTCTGAAATTGCTCTCAACATTGAGTTCTAAAACCATCGACTTCTGGAAACCTGGTTGTTTCAGAACCCCAATTGCTTTCATATCCCATGACAAACCTCACTGCACAATTTGTGCACCATGGTGTGGTGTTACCGCAAGAGTGCGGTTGCATATGGCATTAACCGTACACTGAGGTGCTCCCATACCCTCCAGCGTTAGAAAAATGTTCAAACTTTTTAATAAAACAATTTAACGTGTCATACATACCTGCGTACTTCTGACTTTTTAACAGTTTTATACGTTTGACCCATTTTTAGCTATTTTGTTATAATCTGCGTATGTAAATATAAACCACAATGTAACTAATCAATGAACTTCCAATAATCGATTTTAAGTTTTGTTTTGAGCAATATACGCATTCTTTAATTTATGATCTTATACCAAAAAGTTGTAGACATATCTCTTAATAACAATAAAAATTAAAGGAAATAAAATGCATATGCTAGCCCAATCTAATTAGATAAGATCATATATATAAGTTATTTTAGTAGTTTAGACCCAGGCTCAAACAAATCAAACTTTTGATGACATATTCAATCACCAAGTTTGAGTTTTCATACAGAAAAAAACTTAAAGCATGAAAGTTCATTTTATAAGAACTTGACCATTTTTTATCATATTTTGAACTATACACATACTATATGCATATGTTGATATTTTGAGACAAACTTAAAATTAAAACTAAAACTAAAACTTGAGGTCGAAGTTCAAAACTTCAAATTTACTTATTATACGGGCTTATTGCAAAAACCAATACACAGCCCAGCCCATTTTAATTGTATTACAGTTTAGTGAGTTTACAGACGCCGAAATAAAACCCTTGACGCTTCTACAGTTCTGAGTGATCGATCCCATCCGTAAAACCCACCAAAACCCCTCTTCACCTCTGCAACACTCATTTCTCCGTCTCCGTAATCATCTACGTCCATCAATGGCGTCCGTGGCCTTCAGAAACCCTAATTCTAGGCGTTTGATTCAACTATCTCCCCAATTACGCTCTGGTTGTCGAGGATCCGTTGTATCTGCTTCTGGTTTCCCAGCCATTGAATCGCTTTCTGGAAATGACAACTCGACTGCTTCTAATCCGTGGTGGAGATCCATGGCTACTTTCACCCGAACGTAAGCTTATCGAAATGTTTTATGTATTAAATTATCCAAATAATGTATTTGTATATGAAGAAAGTCAGTGCGGTTGCACACTGATCTAAATTATATATGTGCTTTAGTTTATCCAAATAATGTAATTAAATTTAATCATTTGATGATTAGCATCATTTGTACATATTTCTTTTCCTTGCTATTTATAGTAAATCATTTCTCCGCTGATTTTAATCTGACTCTTTATGTCAAACCGATTAGTTTTGAACTTTGAGATTAAGGTTGGTGATCGTATTCAGCTTTAGAGTTCATACAATTGAAA